TAAGAGTATTGGGCAATACAATAAAATAATCTCAGAACTCTGAATACAAGTTATTTTATTACAAATTGTTTTTTTAAAAAGTTTCTCTTTTGTAAGTCTTTTTTTTTTTTTACTGGTAACATAAATTGGGTTACTTTTAGTAAAGTTTTTAAAATGGGGTTTTCACTAAATAAACAAACATTTCTTCATTTATTTTCATTATATTACAAGCATGGCTGACCAATTCCACAGACATCTGATGTAACATTTTTTTTTTTGTCTGCTACAGTTGTCTGTGAAGTGTTGGTTTATTTTATTAATATATTGATATTTAAACTTATTATTTTTCCTTTTATTATAATTTTTGAATGTTTTGCTGTTTTTTGTGCCTTTGCTTGGAAACCCAGCTGTCCTTCTCTTAACAATTCCACAGACATTTGATGCAACTAATATTTTTATTTTGCGCCCTCACACTTTGTCTCTGCTACATTTGTTTATTTTATTGCATAATTGTTCCTTTTATTATTTTGATATTTTTTTGCTGTATTTTGTGGCATGGAAACCCATCAGTCCATCTCTTTAACACACTGCCTCTCTCTCTGTCAGGTCATGACCCCTCAGGGCCGAGGCACGGTCGCGGCGGCCGCTGCTGGTGCCAGTATAGCCGGCGCTCCCACTCAGTACCCTCCCGGCCGGGCCGGACCCCCCCCACCGATGGGCCGAGGCGCTCCTCCTCCAGGTGAGAACATCTCCGTGTTTCTCAGTTACGGTGTGTCTTTCTGATGGCCGTGCTGATTCGCCAGCTGTGATGACAGAAATGTTCTCTGAGGCCGATGACGTGTCCGCTGATGTGCAAGCAGGATTACACTGAGCTCAGAATCACATGGCGGTGTAACACGCACTCCTCCTGTTGTGTGATGGTTAACGCTCACCCTTGTGCTTGTGCCTCTTCCGCAGGGATGATGGGACCTCCTCCAGGCATGAGGCCACCCATGGGACCCCCGATGGGAATGCCACCCGGCCGCGGCGCTCCGATGGGAATGCCTCCTCCTGGCATGAGGCCGCCGCCACCTGGAATGAGAGGTAAAGCCGGTTTAGTTTGGCTCGCATGTATCAATGAAATACATGACTTTATTTTTTCATTTTCTTGGATATATTTCCAATTTTCTCCACAAATTAAACATACATTCTGATCAATAAACCTATTCGGTAACACTTTACAATAGGGCTGTCACTTTACGTTAGAAAATCGATTGCACATTCGATCGGACCAACCAACACAAGTATCGAAAACGAAAATAGGGAGTCGATTTTAACGGCTTTTTTTTTTTTTTTTACCAAAAATGTGTTTTAGGTGGACAGATCAATACAGCACACAGAACATGTAGGATGGTGGAAAATAACAATCTTTTCTGTTCACCAAATGCTTTTTAATATTCGCTATTACTTCAATGCTAGTGAACAAGCGCGCCGTTATGTGTTGCGTAGTGACGTGTGTGTTCACGTCAGCCAGAAATGTGCCGATTCTGTGCAATACGCTGTATTTAATATATCATGAGGACTCACGAGTTGCGTATTTGCGCAGATTTGGCTTACACGAACTTCCACAGCATAGAAAGTGAAGAAATACGCCAGATTGGCTCGTGATTTGACAGCGTTTCCTGCCAAAGTTAATTTTTACCCGCATTTGGCGGATTCAGGGAGTTAATCTCAATCCCTGAATGTTGCGCTCCTGTTTGTCATTGTGACGAAACTTCACGCCAATAAATCATCAGAAATATTGCTGACGTGTGCGTCTCAAGCGCCTCTTTACGCTCGTCCTAATGCCTGTTAGGTGTCCGTGGATTTGCCTGTATTTGGTGATGAAAATGGAAACGTCTTTAGACATGGAGAATCGATTTTACAATCGATTCAATGAACATTTATGTCTCAAATCAAACAGGATTTTTTTCACAAAAGTGACAGCCCTACTTTACAATAAGGTTCATTAGTTAACTTCCTTAGTTAACATGAACCATGAATGAAGAATACTTCTACAGCATTTATTAATCTTAGTTAAGATTAGTTTAAACTTTTACTAATACATTATTAAAATCATAGGTTGTATTTGTTGACATTAATGCACTGAGAACTAACATGAACAGCAATTTGTTTTATTAACTAAAATGAATAAATACTAGGGGTGTAACGATACACAAACCTGACGGTTCGGTTCATCCCACGGTTTTGAGGTCTCGGTTCGGTTCGGTTCATTTCGGTGGGGTGGGGGGGTTTAGAAAGCTAAAATTGCTTTTATATTTTATTAAACAGTGCTTTAATGAACAAATTGTGTCCTTGTCTTTAAATTAATTCCATTACAAGTAAACGTTTCTCAAGGATAACAAAATGATCTGCTAATGCTGTAAACTACAACCCTTACTTGCACATTACTATAACATTAAAGCTTAACAACAGAGCCTAGACTTTTAGCCTAAATGATATAATAATAATCAACACTCAAATAACAAATTGTATGAAAACATGTAAACTGCACATAAGGCAATTTTTGCATTAACATGTTTTTACTCTAATTTGTTAATGTTATATAATAATTTACACAGTTGCTGTTATTTTCATGACAACTATTTTAAACATACATTAAATAATCAAGATATCATAAACAGGTTAAGTAAAATATAATATATAGTCCAATATATAGCATTTATTTAGTGAAAGAGTTAGCAAACCAGCAAGCTGTGGACACTGAATGACTTGCCTGAGGTAAATATAAAGCTATGTGAAAAACTAAGCGTTTTATTGACGTATTTCCGCTGTTGAAACACTGATTGAGTGTTTACACGAGTTATGATGCCTTTCAGTAAGTATACTGTATCTTTCAACATACCTTCGGGTGTCCATTCATGTTTATTCTGTAACTGAGGAAGATCGCGCTCCGCGCTGCCGCATGCATACAGTGATATCTGTCACGCCACATCTAAGAGCGCCAAAACGCCATTTTTTTGTTTGCATTTCGTGATCAAATAGACATAATTTGAAAGATTACACCTTGCTTATTATCAAAAGTAACAAAACACTGAGCTTATTGCGATTATATGTGGTTAATGGTGGCTAGGCAACAGCCCTGTATTCGTTGTGTACACATAACACATGAGGTGCAATGAGCCTGGGCGGGGCCGCAGGGGGCGGGGCGTGTTCGGTTCGCCATGAGAGTATCGCGATACGTATCGTGGGTGGTGTATCGCGGTTTTTCGGTTCGGTTCAAATATCGTTACACCCCTAATAAATACTGTAACAAATGTATTGCTCATTGGGTAACACTTTATTTTACAGTGTCCTTGTTACATGTACTTACGATAGTAATAACAGTAAATTATGCATAATTACATGCAACTAACCCTCAATCAAATCCTAACCCTAGAGTAAGTACATGTAGTTGCTTAATATTACTCAGTACTTAAATATATAATTACACTGTAACAATGACACCTTAAAATAAAGTGAAACCGCTCATTGTTTAGTCATGTTCGTTAATACATAAACTAATGGACCTTATGGTAAAGTGTCCATTTTTCCAACTCTTTTATTTAATTTATTTAATTTACAATGATTTTAATTGTTGTCCTGCTCTTCCTCCAGGTCCTCCTCCTCCAGGCATGCGTCCTCCCAGACCGTAAACCTCTGGCTAACGTGTTTCAGATCCGTCTTTTCCTTGTACAGGAAAGTTTGGCTGCAAGTTCTTGTATAGTTTGATTTTTGTATTTTGTTACTTTATTTTTTTTTAAACAATAAAGTGTCAATTTGACAGTTATGTTTTAATATGACTTGTGTTTTTCTCTTAATTGATGCCAGTTAAATATCCAATAAACTGTTGAGCTGGTTTTTACTATTTGATGCAACTAAATGGCCTAAAAAACATGCATTATAGAAATGAATCATGCAACTTCATAAATGGGATGTTCTCTTAATGTTTAATTTATGCATATGGTTTCTTGTAGAATATACAGCGATGCAATTGCATGTTTGGATGATTCATATAGTTAATATTTAGAGTTTAGGTATGTGTAATATTCAAGAACTGTTAAAGTAGAAAACTATTGTTACACATTTGCTCGGCTTTTTTTCTTTTTTAAATACTGGGTTATTTTTGAGATGCATTGCTTTAAGAGTCTTTTCCAAAAGTCTTATTACAGCATTCAATTAGTTAATTTAAACTGAGCCGGCCATGTCCAATATATGATTTAAAGTGTTTAATAATATAATATGCATGTCTTCTGTCAGGTTGTAATATAAGGTCTGGCACTTGCAACCACATCAAAATGATTTTCCTGAAAGTAAACAATTTTAAATCATATTTTGTGTTCAGAGATTGTTTATTTTAGATCTACAACCCTCTACAGTCTCAGCTAACCATATATTGTTCATTTAAATGTCCCATTTCACACTGCATTGTTGGCAGAGGTGGTTTCTTAAAGAGATAGTTCACCCAAAAATTAAAAAATCTGTCATTTACTCGCCTTCAAGTTGTCCAAACCTGTATACATTTCTTTATGCTGTACACAAAGACATTTAGAAGATTTTATGTAACCAAGCATATCTTGCCCCCATTGACTACCATAGTAGTAAAATATACTGTTGAAGTCAATGGGGGGGGGGGGGGATCTACTCGTTTACATTCTTCCAAATATTTTCCTTTGTGTTCAGCAGAACAAATACATTTATACAGGTTTGTTCGCAACCATTTGAGGGTGAGTAAATGACTGAACTTTCATATTTTGGAAGAACTGTCCCTTTAACCAATCGTCTGGTCCTCCGCGCCTGTAGGTGTCAGTGTAGCTTCCGGTTTCCCCGCTGCCTCTGAAAAAGAACCACGTGAGTGACGCACTTCCGCTGCTACAGTTAAGCGACACACGTGTGTGTTTATGAACATGCAGAGCTGGTAGTGTGTCAATCAGACAGTTATATATTTATGATTTGTGAGAATATATGTCCGCTTCTCTTTTATGTAGAACAGAATATAAGATACGATATAGTTACTAATAATAGTTATTAGTACTCTGTTGTAGTTATCAGGCTGTGAGTTTTACAGCACACATGTTTTCTGATATGGATTTAATCAGAACTATTGATGATGATGTTGAAGTGCCAGACGAGCCGGATTCAGCGTCGGACGATGAAGATGTAAGTTCAGTTTACAGTTCAGATACAATGAAAAAATTCATGTTTTTGGGGCCTGTAAGTTACCATGATAATAATACCATGTTTTGTGAAGTGCATCATGGTAATAGTGTGTTGTGCTGTGTTTTGGGGAACATACTGTGGTAATACCATGTTTTGTGATCTGTGTCATTATAATACTACTTTATATGGAGATTTACCATGTTTTTGAAGCACGTCATCATGATAATACTACGTTATCTGGGGGTGTACCATGGTAATACTGTGTCAATACCATGTTTTGTGATGTGCATCATGTTTTTTTTAGAGTGTACCATGGCAATACTATGTTTTTTTGACAAATAGTTAAAACTAAAACCATAAAAACAAAAGCACAAGCTTATGGAAGCATTTCACATTTGCATGTATTTTAACTTGATGTGCTACATTAACTCAAAGTAAAGCTGAAATAAAAATGGGTTACACTTTATTTTAAGGTGATGTAGTTACATTGTACTTACTGAAATAAGTACTGAGTTATACTAATTAACTACATGCACTTAGTATAGAGTAATGGTTAGTTACTTGTAGTAATGCATTATTTACTGATACTGTATATACTAAGTAACTATGTCACCGTAAAATAAAGTGTTACCTAAAAATTAATAAAGAATATAGACATATTTTAAAAGCTTGAACTTGTTTATGTAAATTAAAACGAATTTAAAATAATAATTGTTATTTAATTATACATTTTGTACATTATATACATCATTTTAATTATATAATTTTTTAATAAGGTTTATTGATAATATATGGTTATGGTTACACTTAAGTTACAAAATAGATGTATGAGATGATAATAACTTATACAATTAATGAGAGAGAGAGAGAGAGAGAGAGTGTATGTGTGTGTGTGAGAGAGAGAGAGAGAGAGAGAGAGAGAGAGAGAGAGAGAGAGAGAGAGAGAGAGAGAGAGAGAGAGTGAGAGTGTACACGGTATGTGAGAGAGAGTGTGAGTGTGTATGTGAGAGAGAGAGAGAGAGACATAACTACATCCTACATAACTACCATTGCACATGAATTCCCTCATGGTGTATTTGCCTCTGCTAGCATGACTTTAGCCTGGAATCACGTGTGTGTGTGTGTTCAGGATCAGCCCATCGTGTTGAGCAAGGAGAAGCGCGCGCTGAAGGGCCGCACAGGAGACTTCAGTGCTGGTTTCGAGTTTGGCGAGCGGGACGGCCTGTACAGCGGAGACTGGGCGATGGATGACGTGATGGCTCAGCTGAAGAAGAGGGTGAGTGGCGTTCACACTGACGGACTGATGCGTGCGGCTCGTGTTGATCTTCATCTCTTCTGTTGCTTGTTTTCAGAAAGCGGCCACGACTCTGGACGAGAAGATCGAGAAAGTGCGGAAAAAGCGCAAAATTGAGGTAAGACGATGTTGAGTCGAGTCACCTTTATATAAACAGCGCTTTAGACAATATATTGCTTCAGAGTAATGAACATGCAAATAACACGAGCTGTAAAGCAGCGCTACTGAAGACTAGTGTCGTTATTCTGCTTAAAGGTACACTGTAACTTTTGGCCATCTAGTGGTTAATAAAGAAAACTGCATGCGTTTGCAGAAGAACGTGGTTTTGGACGTGCTTGGGCTCTGCGTGACTGCGGATCAATATGTTTCTCCTAGGGATGCACGATATAGGAATTTGGCCGATATTTGATATGCCGATATTTTCATACTAATTTTGCCCGATACCGATATATTTGTGTGTTTTTTTTTTTTGTGCAAAAAAAGCTTATTAAAGCTTCTATTAAAGTTCTCAGTCAAGAGCAGTGAGTGATTTCCTCTGTGTTTTGTTGTTTTATTAACATTAACGAGATAGTTCTCCCCAAAATTTAAATTGTCATTTACTCTCTCAAGTTTCTTTCTTCTGTTGAAATTATAAAAGTTATTTGGAAGAATGTGGCTAACCAAACAGTTCCTGTACTTCAGTGACTTCCATAGTAGATTTAAGCACAAGAAAGAAATGAATACAGGTTTGGATCAACATTAGAGTGAGTAAATAATGACAGAATTTTTATTTCTGGGTGCAGTATCTCTTTAAGGACAAGCGGCAGCATATTATTACTGTCTCTTTAAGAACTGCACGCGACACGTCTAATATACACGCATTTGACAAGCAGATTTTCTCTGTTTGCTTTCACTTTAGACACAACCAACTTTGTTTATGTAAACCTTGTGTGTATTTGACAGTATCAGCTAGTGTTGTCAAAAATATCGATATTTCGATAAATATCGATACTGAAATATCTGAACGGTACCAATACTAATTTCCCGAAGTATCGATACTAGCCGAGCGGTCACTTTCACTTCTCTCAAAAGGCGCGTTGACAAACACCACACGTGACGCATTCGTCTCATTCGCTCTGGGTAAATAGCAAAAGTGAAGTGAATGGAAAGATGGCGAGGGCCGCGCCCCCGCGACCGGCTTTGGTTGATTGATAAAGAACACCACGAGCGGGCATGTCGGAGAATAGCGCGGACACGCGTAAAAAACACACCGCGAGCGGGCATGTCGGAGAATAGCGCGGACACGCGTAAAAAACACACCGCGAGCGGGCATGTCGGAGAATAGCGCGGACACGAGCTACACACCGCGAGCGGGCATGTCGGAGTCGGAGAATAGCGCGGACACGCGTAAAAAACACACCGCGAGCGGGCATGTCGGAGAATAGCGCGGACACGAGCTACACACCGCGAGCGGGCATGTCGGAGTCGGAGAATAGCGTGGACACGCACTACACACCGCGAGCGGGCATGTCGGAGAATAGCGCGGACACGAGCTACACACCGCGAGCGGGCATGTCGGAGTCGGAGAATAGCGTGGACGCGCTACACACCGCGAGCGGGCATGTCGGAGAATAGCGCGGACACGAGCTACACACCGCGAGCGGGCATGTCGGAGTCGGAGAATAGCGTGGACACGCGCTACACACCGCGAGCGGGCATGTCGGAGTCGGAGAATAGCGTGGACACGCGCTACACACCGCGAGCGGGCATGTCGGAGAATAGCGCGGACACGAGCTACACACCGCGAGCGGGCATGTCGGAGTCGGAGAATAGCGTGGACACGCGCTACACACCGCGAGCGGGCATGTCGGAGAATAGCGCGGACACGAGCTACACACCGCGAGCGGGCATGTCGGAGTCGGAGAATAGCGTGGACACGCGCTACACACCGCGAGCGGGCATGTCGGAGAATAGCGCGGACACGAGCTACACACCGCGAGCGGGCATGTCGGAGTCGGAGAATAGCGTGGACACGCGCTACACACCGCGAGCGGGCATGTCGGAGAATAGCGCGGACACGAGCTACACACCGCGAGCGGGCATGTCGGAGTCGGAGAATAGCGTGGACACGCGCTACACACCGCGAGCGGGCATGTCGGAGTCGGAGAATAGCGTGGACACGCGCTACACACCGCGAGCGGGCATGTCGGAGAATAGCGCGGACACGAGCTACACACCGCGAGCGGGCATGTCGGAGTCGGAGAATAGCGTGGACACGCGCTACACACCGCGAGCGGGCATGTCGGAGTCGGAGAATAGCGCGGACACGCGCTACACACCGCGAGCGGGCATGTCGGAGTCGGAGAATAGCGCGGACACGAGCTACACACCGCGAGCGGGCATGTCGGAGTCGGAGAATAGCGTGGACACGAGCTACACACCGCGAGCGGGCATGTCGGAGTCGGAGAATAGCGTGGACACGCGCTACACACCGCGAGCGGGCATGTCGGAGAATAGCGCGGACACGAGCTACACACCGCGAGCGGGCATGTCGGAGTCGGAGAATAGCGTGGACACGCGCTACACACCGCGAGCGGGCATGTCGGAGTCGGAGAATAGCGTGGACACGAGCTACACACCGCGAGCGGGCATGTCGGAGTCGGAGAATAGCGCGGACACGCGCTACACACCGCGAGCGGGCATGTCGGAGTCGGAGAATAGCGCGGACACGAGCTACACACCGCGAGCGGGCATGTCGGAGTCGGAGAATAGCGTGGACACGAGCTACACACCGCGAGCGGGCATGTCGGAGAATAGCGTGGACACGCGCTACACACCGCGAGCGGGCATGTCGGAGAATAGCGCGAACACGAGCTACACACCGCGAGCGGGCATGTCGGAGTCGGAGAATAGCGCGGACACGAGCTACACACCGCGAGCGGGCATGTCGGAGTCGGAGAATAGCGTGGACACGCGCCACACACCGCGAGCGGGCATGTCGGAGTCGGAGAATAGCGTGGACACGCGCTACACACCGCGAGCGGGCATGTCGGAGTCGGAGAATAGCGTGGACACGCGCTACACACCGCGAGCGGGCATGTCGGAGTCGGAGAATAGCGTGGACACGAGCTACACACCGCGAGCGGGCATGTCGGAGTCGGAGAATAGCGTGGACACGAGCTACACACCGCGAGCGGGCATGTCGGAGTCGGAGAATAGCGTGGACACGCGCTACACACCGCGAGCGGGCATGTCGGAGTCGGAGAATAGCGTGGACACGAGCTACACACCGCGAGCGGGCATGTCGGAGTCGGAGAATAGCGTGGACACGAGCTACACACCGCGAGCGGGCATGTCGGAGTCGGAGAATAGCGTGGACACGAGCTACACACCGCGAGCGGGCATGTCGGAGTCGGAGAATAGCGCGGACACGAGCTACACACCGCGAGCGGGCATGTCGGAGTCGGAGAATAGCGCGGACACGAGCTACACACCGCGAGCGGGCATGTCGGAGTCGGAGAATAGCGTGGACACGCGCTACACACCGCGAGCGGGCATGTCGGAGTCGGAGAATAGCGCGGACACGAGCTACACACCGCGAGCGGGCATGTCGGAGTCGGAGAATAGCGCGGACACGAGCTACACACCGCGAGCGGGCATGTCGGAGTCGGAGAATAGCGTGGACACGCGCTACACACCGCGAGCGGGCATGTCGGAGTCGGAGAATAGCGTGGACACGAGCTACACACCGCGAGCGGGCATGTCGGAGAATAGCGCGGACACGCGAGCGGGCTGCGGGCACCCAATAGATTGTTTGACTATCAATAATCCCTCACATCACTCATTTTTTAAAATTATTGTATAGGTGAAAACAGACTTAAGGAACAGGCTCCAGGGGTAGGCTACTATTTAGCATTATATGCTCAGCATCAGGGGTGTTTGTTGTTTGGACAGACCTGCCCCCACTGCTAAAAAAAAAGTCCTCAAGGAAACACTGTAACTCTTCTCATTTGAACTTTTCTGAAACATTAACCAAGATGGCCTAGTATTGTTGTTGATAAGAGTATCTGACTGAGGAATCTTAGACAAGTAAATATTGTAACTGTGGCCAAATGTAAATTAACTGGTGCCTATTTAACTTTATTCAAAAATTATTATTTAATTCTGCAATTTTCCTTCATTAGCGATTATCATCAATTTGATTACACAGATATTAATTAAACTAAACAGCTAGACAATGGCATCTCTGAATTCAATAATGAAATGCCTTTAACTGAAAATTGAATGTTTAATCTTATTATTATACATTACTGACTCTCTATCCTCCAATTTGATACTGTTAAGTGCTTTTTTGTTACAGTATGTTTTAATCTTTGATAACAGTAGGTAATAAAAATACATCATGTTAGCTCTGGTCCAATTAAAAAATATAAACAAATAGAACTCAGGACATTTTTGTTCGTGTAAAATATACCTCATTGTCATGTTCTAGACTTGTTATATTTAGCTTTAAATTAAAAAAATACCCCCTTAATATTGTGGCAGTTTTTTCTCCGTGGTATCGAAAATGGTATCGAATATCGATATTTTTCAAGGTATCGTATCGAAGTTAGAAATTCTAGTATCGTGACAACACTAGTATCAGCGCAATAAGACTCGAACGATTAGTCCAGTATGCAGGCGCTGTGATGGCTTTAGTTCCTGTGAGCGTCGGGTGTAACGCGCTCAGAAAAGCGGATGTTAGAACAGCGCATCAGCACGTGAATGATATGTTTACCTAGCAAGACTTTGACGCACATGCAAACAATGAACTTTTGTGAATTGCGGTGTCCCGTGAGTGTAACTCTACCTCTGCGTTTACATGTGATGTGATGTGAATGTACGTCGCGTTGTACAGTATGTTGAGATGAAGGCGCCAGAATTGAACTGATAGAATGCACGATACTATGATTTTTCTTCAAAAGCAGATCGTGGAGACATTTTAATCGTCCACGATCAAAAACCGTGAGACGCACGGCACACCCCTAGTTGGAAGTTTAAGTTGCTGGCGCTCATGCTTCGTTCACGGTCGTCACGTGCGCATAGGAAACACGCCACCCTATCGGCAAGGCTCATCGGCAGAAATATTCATATCGGCCGATGCCGATGATGGTCATTTTAAGCTTTTATCGGCCGATACCGATGTTGTCCCGATATCATCGTGCATCCCTAGTTTCTCCTGTTGCTCATAAAACATGCTAGGCTTCAGAGCAGGGGCGTCGCACCCGTGGGGGATTTTCCCAGTAAGAGGGTTCAACACCCGCAGTTTTGCACAAACGCCTTCCTACAGTCGCTCCTCCTTTTCTCTGGCCGCTCTGTGTGCGCGCTCGCTACGGCTCCTCCTCTCCCCCTCCCTCTCAAACATGACACCGGCTTTGAGTGTGACCGGCTGATGATTGGCTGTTCTGCCTTAAGTCCCGCCTCTCTTGGTGCGTTTGATTTATCGGTCAACTCGTGCTGAGGAGGCGGGAACTTTATGGTTATGGTTATTTACATCTCCTTTTTCCAGGTACTTAGAATGAGTTTAATGCTTTCGAGGTTTTTAAATAAGCTTGATATGTGTTTGGGAAGATATTATGCTTATGTTTTGTTGACACTATGTTTTGTTGCCACTGTTGCCTTGGCTTTTGGCTTGCTTATTTGGGGACATTTAATATTCAATAATATTATTGATCTGCCTTACTTAAGGTGGACGTTGACGCAATTTCTTTTAGAAACAAACTTTGTTATATTGTTTTCATGTTATCACTGTGAAGCGCTTTGATACAATCTGTATTGTAAAAAGCGCTATATAAATAAAGGTGACTTGACTTGACATGTCGAGCGTTTTTGGTATTATATTTTGTTTTTTAGACTAGACAGCACAATACTTTAAGTAGGCATTCTGTTTGTGCTGCGTGATTTAAAGAAAAGTGCGCACTTTGCTCACGCGATCATTCAGCATGGTGATCTGGTGTTTTCTCTAAAATTCAAACTCAAGGGTTTATTTCTTGCAAGTGAAGAAATTAGGACTAAAGTATTGTAATTTTCCTATTCTATAGCGTAATATAAAATATACTTTTGAAATTTTCATTTCATTTACAATAGCATACATTTATAGGCTATATGGATTTTCCATCATAGGAATAATTATATAAATCATTATAATATTATTATAATAAATGTTTGGCATTCTAAAACACCAGTGATAATGTAATGTAGACTGAGACTCTGTATCATAACTAAAAAGATGTTTGAGCTCTCTTTAGGTACAAGTCAATTATTTTTCTTTGTTCAATGTGCACAGTTCATGGGTTGAAGCTCTTAATTTTGAGCTCTCAAAGTGCACCAGATTGATGCATTTAACCTTAAAATGTACAAAATCTTCTGGGAAACAACGATCATTTACTGTTAATGCCAAATTTAAATGTCCTTGGACAAACTACACTACAGTCCTGCCTATGGAGGGGCCTCTGAATTCTTAATCCGGCCCTGACCACATCCATCCCCCGCACTTTTGAAAAGCTTGCTACGCCCCTGCTTCAGAGATATAACCAGTTTAGATGAAAGGATCTCAAGCTGAAGACGTTACTGTCGCTTTACCCATTATTAGACACGGTACTTAAATAAATTCCTGCACAGCGCTGAAACAACTATAATTAAATGATCTTCACTATAGATAATGATAGAGAGCTAATAATTGGAGAGCTACATATGGCAGTTTATCTATAAAACACTTACTCTCCTGTGGCGTAATAAAACACCATCTCTGCGTCGCTTTTACAACATTTCAAATCCCTCAGTTCTCCATGCCTGAAAAGCAAAGCTAATGTTGATTCTAGTTTTATTACGAGCTCTGTCTCGTTCTCTTTTCTCCTGCAGACTTTCCTCTGTTCTCACACACACACACACACACACACACACACACACACACACACACACACACACACACACTCACACTCACACTCACACTCACACTCACACTCACACACACTCACACTCACACTCACACACACACACTCAACTAACCTCTGACACTAACCCCACACACACACACACACTCACACTCACACTCAACTAACCTCTGACACTAACCACACACACACACACACACACACACACACACACACACACACACACACACACACACACACACACACACACACACACACACACACACACACACAACCTCTGACACTAACCACACACACACACACAACTAACCTCTGACACTAACCACACACACACACTCAACTAACCTCTGACCAGACACACACACTCAACTAACCTCTGACCAGACACACACACTCAACTATCCTCTGACCAGACACACACACTCCTCTGACCAGACACACACACTCCACTAACCTCTGACCAGACACAAACACTCCTCTGACCAGACACACACACTCAACTAACCTCTGACCAGACACACACACTCAACTAACCTCTGACCAGACACACACACTCAACTATCCTCTGACCAGACACACACACTCCTCTGACCAGACACACACACTCAACTAACCTCTGACACTAACCACACACACACACTCCACTAACCTCTGACACAGACATCACTTATGAAAAAAATGGGTCAATTATGAAAGAATTATTCAGCATCTCAATCGAGTTTTGTTATCAGCCGATGCGGATAGTGTCCATGCAAATCGATAATACTTCTGAATATTAAGTGTCTCGATATTCAGTAATACTGAGTGCGTATTGTTTTAGAAGTTATAGTATTTGTTAAAGATTCGTTTGTTTGTAAATCATTTTAACTCACATTTGTGCATCTGCAGGAGAAAACTCAAAAAAACAAGAAAACAGAAGCTCCAGCCTCTAAACCACAGCAAGATGATGATGAAGATGATGATGATGATGAAGAAGAAGAGAACGATAAAGAAGAGGATGAAAATGACAATAACAATAAAGAATCTGCTGGAGATGATGATGATGATGAGGTGGAGGAAGACGAGTTCTCCTCGGGTGATGAAGAGGTGCTGAAAAAAGCCGGTATGTGGAAGAACGACACCAATACAAACTTTCCATTTTTTATGGATTATGGTTCATAATCAATTTTTATTTTTATGGTTCATATTATTTCTCTATGAGCATGTTTGATTTATTTCATCATCTTTCTTTTCTTCCAGACACTGTGAGAGAAAAACAGAAGAAGGGCAAGAGGAAAATCGTGAGTATGAATCAGTTTTCTTGTTGTTTATGGCATAAATCTCCTATGATTATGATCATAATGTGTGCAAATACTGTTTTACTCCTGCGCTCTCTTCCAGCCTGAAGCGTTTTTTGAAGATGCTTCCCAGTATGACGATAATCTCACCTTCCCGGATATGAATCTATCCAGACCCTTACTGAAGGTCAGACTGACGATTAATTATTCATTTCATGTGAAACACTTTTCATATATGCACTTTTATATCAATATATAGCAATCATGGAACGTAAGTGACACTTTTGACCTAGTAATGCTGGTTTAGGCTGCAAAATTATGTAAAGTAGCTCGTACAAACGCTTTAGGGACTAAACATGGAGAATTTCTTGAGATAAATACATGGTGTCATCAGAATAAATGACCACTTTTATAAGTAGTAAAGAGAAACATAACTAAAGCCGTCAAAATTAAGGGGAGACACCCCAGGTGAATAGTAAAAAAACCACACAAAAAAAACTAATAGATATCAGCATGAAACTTCCCCAGTTGATTACTGACATTAAGATAAATATATTTTGTATTACAAGTTTTTAGAATATTTCTATTTAAATATGCAAATTAGGTATTATCTCATTAAATATGCGCTAAATTGCATATATTTCCAGAAGAGAAATCTGAACATTGGATAAAGCCAGATTCAAAATTCTTGTTTAATTTTGTTGACATATTCGAGTCAAAGGTTTTTACAGAGGGGATTTTGGATATCTCTTTTTATCAAACTGTCAACAGCCATAAATTCATTTTCACCCTGTTTTTAGGTATAAAATGTTGTATAAATCAGATTCTGAATGATATATGAACAAACCCCTCGGTAAAAACCTTAAGAATATAGGTAGGAATACAACAGTGTGTAAGTGCAGCTTAAGTGGAGATTTCTGGCTCCGAGGATGAGAAAAAACACATTTTGAGAAAACGCCCTTTAAAGAATTGACATCAGCCAATGAGATTTCGCTTTTAGAGTTAAATTCCCCATTGTACTTTCATGATTGGTTGCTGATAAAAAAGGAAATGACCATATTTGGATCCGACAACATTGTACAGGAGAGAGAGAGCTTTTCAACCGTATACAGGTGAAACTCGAAAAATTAGAATATGGTACAAAAGTTAATTTATTTCAGTAATTCAACTTAAAAAGTGAAACTAATATATATTATATAGACTCATTACATGCAAAGTGAGATATTTCAAGCCTTTATTTGTTATAATTTTGATGATTATGACTTACAGATATGAAAACCTTTTCACAATATTCTAATTTTGAATTTGGGATTTCATTAAGCTGTAATCCATAATCATCAAAATTATAAGAAATAAAGGCTTGAAATATCTCACTTTGCATGTAATGAGTCTATATAATATATTAGTTTCACCTTTTAAGTTGAATTACTGAAATAAATGAACTTTTGCACCATATTCAAATTTTTTGAGTTTCACCTGTATGAAATGTATTCAACTTTTGTTGAATTTAGGAGAAATCTACAGACAAAGTGTAGTAAAATAAAGACCTAAATCTGTAGTTTGGACTTTTTTTCACCACAAGTCTGAAACAAGACATGTAATGAAGACAAATAGTCCAAATTCGGCCAGTGAAAAACCCCAATGTTTTTGCCTGTCGCATCTCGCCTCAAACATTGCAGCATCTGACGGACCTTCAGTAGAAGACGCACAGTTTCATCTCACGTTCTCTTCCTCGTGTTTCCTCAGGCCATCACTACTATGGGCTTTAAGCAGCCCACTCCTATTCAGAAAGCCTGCGTCCCTGTGGGGCTTCTGGGAAAAGACATCTGTGCATGTGCCGCCACTGGCACTGGTAAGACTTCCACTGTCTGTGCTTGATTTGACCAGAACGAATGTGAATATTACTATTTTATTTATTTGAGCTTGTTTATTTAACAGGGACAATACACTTGGCATTGTTACACAGAGACAACCGATGCCGTGTACATAGATAGGGCATATACAGATGAAACTCGAAAAATTAGAATATCGTGCAAAAGTTCATGTATTTCAGTAATTCAAATTAAAAGGTGAAACTAATATATTTAGTATATATATAACTATATACATATGCATGATTACATTTTTCAGAGGGCCGACATTTCTGTATTTAAAATCTATTTTTTTATTATTGATTTCATGTAATACTACTTTTTTTTTTTTTTGAGATTTTGAATTTGGGGTTTTCATAAGCTGTAAGACATAATCATCAAAATTATAACTTTTGCACGATATTCTAATTTTTCGAGTTCCACCTGTAGCATAAAGATAATGTGCGGCCCTCGTCCCTGGTTAGGCTTTTACATAAAATCAAAACAAAGACAATTATCACAAGGAACGAAACAAATACACATACACACATGTATATACAGATGACTTTGTGTGTATATGTTGTACCTAAACAAACAAACAATGGCGTATTGACATACCTAAGCACATATGTAACTTTATACACTGTCACAAACATAAACTATAAATGATCCTACATGCAAAGAAAGAAAGAAGAAAAAAACAACCAACCTAAGTTACTCTATAACTGTAATCTCTGTGATGTTTAGTTGACTGTATGTGTGTGTGTGTGTGTGTCTCAGGGAAGACTGCAGCCTTCATGTTGCCGGTTCTGGAGCGTCTGATCTACAAGCCGAGAGAGACTCAGGTGACGCGAGTGCTGGTTCTGGTGCCGACCCGAGAGCTGGGCATTCAGGTGCACACCGTGGCCCGTCAGCTGGCCCAGTTCACCAGCATCAGCACGTGTCTGGCCGTGGGTGAGAGACGCACACGCACTGTTACAGGATTTACTCACGCTTCCAAGTAGCTTTTATATTTTAACTTTTCATTTTTCAGTTTAAGTATCATCAATTTTATGTTTCTTAATTATATATATATTCATTTAGCTTTTATATTTTCATTTTTCAGTTTAAGTATCATGAATTTTATGTGTTTCTTAATTATATATCCATTTAGCTTTTAAGTATTTTACAAATATTCCTATTTATCTTATTTTTATTTCAGGTTTTGTTTTAGTAATTGTTTTAGTAATTTTAGTACTAAAAATCAATCTCTATTTCTTAATCTCTATTATCTCTATCTAAGCTATTTTTTTGTACTAATTTTATTTCAAGAAGGTGCCTGGAAACATCTCTGAATTTTAAGGTTTTCATTTAATAATTATATTTTATTATTTCAGCTTTCTTTCTTTTTAAATGATTTTATAGCTTGTTCTAGTTTTATATAGTTTTAGTAATTTTATGAGCTTTTAAAATTTTCATTAGCTTATGTATTTCTATATATATATCTCAGTGTTGTAAATGAAGGGCTGCAGGATTGAGGTGTTTTGTGACTCTGTCAGGTGGGCTGGACCTGAAGTCTCAGGAGGCGGCGCTGAGAGCGGGTCCAGATGTCCTGATCGCCACACCAGGACGACTGATCGACCACTTGCACAACACGCCGTCGTTCGAGCTCAGTCAGATCGAGATCCTCATCTTAGACGAGGCCGACAGGTGAGAGGGAAGCTTCTGCAGCTACTGTGACTGTGAAGGGTTTGGCTGGTGGTTTAGACGTGTGTTAGGCTTGCTACGATAGTCAGTGTTGACTGTGTTCAGAAACAACACCGGCTACATCACTTGCCCAGCGTGGCACCGCCCCCACCATCTATTTATTTATTTATTTGAAAATAAAATCATTTAGTTCAGTTAGATAAGTGGTTCTCAATCCTGGGGACCCACAGCTCTGCACATTTTATATGTCTCCTTTATCTCCCAGTTCAGTTCATAGAGCTCTTTCCTAACGTGTGTTAAATGAGGGAGACGTACAAACTGTGCAGAGCTGTGGACCAGGATTGAGAACCACTGAGTTAGAGAACACACACTACAATCAAAAACTAAACGGTGTCTGCTTAATAAATCGTGAGCTGAACAAGAGTCGCAGCAGGAGTCAGGTTTCATGAATGGCGAGAGTCAGGAGCTGACGGTGATGGCGGATTTGCTGTCAAAGCGAAATGTAAAAGCGCCTATGTTTGCAAATTTCTCATTATACTGTTTTTTTGTTGTTGTGTTTTTCATTAAGAATAATAGGCTAATGAGCTCAGCTTTCTAGCAATCCGCCCCAGAATTGGTGCTAATTTGAAAGCGAAACTAAAATATGTCCACGGGCGTGAGCAGAACAGAGCGTTTTCAGTTCATTCCTATGGGAAAACGCTTGCTCTGCTCCGAAAGGAAAGGAGCTCTACTGGTTTTAATGAGAAGCCCTTCATCAACCTTCTAATTAAATCAACCATTCATTATGAATGCATGTACAGATGCGCGCATTTTACTTTTGCCTTTAAATGAGTGATTATTTAAAAGCCCCCGCCGGTGATACCGGTGTTGTCACACGTCGATTAACCGGTGGGAGAATCTCCTCACGTCACATCCCTAACGCGTGTGTTTTCCTCAGGATGCTGGACGAGTACTTCGAGGAGCAGATGAAGGAGATCATCAGGATGTGTTCCTATCAGAGACAGACCATGTTGTTCTCAGCCACCATGAGTGAGGAGGTGATGCTGCTCTCCTTCAGCTTTACTGCAACCGTATTACACTGACAGTCGTGTGTTCTGAACGGATGCTTTATGGATCCGGTGTTGAAGGGTTTGAAATCAAATACATTATATTGTGCAAAATAGATAAACAGACAGACAGACAGACATGGATGGATGGATGGATGGATGGATAGAGGATAGGTGGATGGATGGATGGATAGAGGATAGGTGGATGGATGGATAGAGGATGGAGGATGGATGGATGGATGGAGGATAGATGGATGGATGGATGGAAAGAGGATAGGTGGATGGATGGATAGAGGATAGGTGGATGGATGGATAGAGGATAGGTGGATGGATGGATAGAGGATAGGTGGATGGATGGATAGAGGATAGGTGGATGGATGGATAGAGGATAGGTGGATGGATGGATAGAGGATAGGTGGATGGATGGATAGAGGATAGGTGGATGGATGGATAGAGGATAGGTGGATGGATGGATAGAGGATAGGTGGATGGATGGATAGAGGATAGGTGGATGGATGGATAGAGGATAGGTGGATGGATGGATAGAGGATAGGTGGATGGATGGATGGAGGATAGATGGATGGATAGAGGATAGGTGGATGGATGGATAGAGGATAGGTGGATGGATGGATGGATGGAGGATAGATGGATGGATGGATGGATAGAGGATAGGTGGATGGATGGATGGATGGAGGATAGGTGGATGGATGGAGGATAGATGGATGGATGGATGGAGGATGGATGGATGGAGGATAGATGGATGGATAGAGGATAGATGGATGGATGGATAGAGGATAGGTGGATGGATGGATGGATGGATGGAGGATGGATGGTGGATGGATAGGTGGATGGATGGATGGAGGATAGGTGGATGGATGGATGGAGGATAGGTGGATGGATAGATGGATAGAGGATAGGTGGATGGATGGATGGATGGATGGATGGATGGATGGATGGATGGATGGATGGAGGATAGATGGATGGATGGATGGAGGATAGGTGGATGGATAGATGGATAGAGGATAGGTGGATGGATGGATGGATGGATGGATGGATGGAGGATAGATGGATGGATGGATGGAGGATAGGTGGATGGATGGATAGAGGATAGGTGGATGGATAGATGGATGGATGGAGGATAGATGGATAGAGGATAGGTGGATGGATGGATGGGTAGATGGATAGAGGATAGGTGGATGGATGGGTAGAGGATAGATGGATGGATGGATGGATGGATGGATAGAGGATAGATAGATGGATGGATAGAGGATAGATAGATGATTTATAGATAGACCTATGTAAGGATAGATAGATGGATGGATAGAGGATAAATAGAGGATAGATGGATGGATAGAAATGATTAAATTCATCAAAATAAATTAAGTAAAGACAGACAAATTCCATTAAATAAATAAATAAAACTAAATAAATAACAATACCACTGTTTCTAATTTAATTTCTTTACTGACAAAATCAATTAAGCCATAAATTTATTGCCATAAAAATCAGTTCCAGTTCCAAACCGTGATCATACTGGTATCAGACAGATCTTCATTTATTGATTTGGCCGATATTAGAGGTAGATGAAACCAGGGTTTATTCTTCTATCATCACATGGGTTGTGTGCCACATATAACACTACTGTTGGCTGTTAGTCTGTTAGTACAACATCTCCACATCGGTGTGTTTTGGATGTGTGTGTCCAGGTGAAGGATCTGGCGTCGGTGTCTCTGAAGCAGCCGGTGAGGATCTTCGTGAACAGTAACACAGACGTGGCGCCGTATCTCCGGCAAGAGTTTGTGAGGATCAGACCCAACAGAGAAGGAGACCGAGAGGCTATTGTTGCAGGTAAAGTGCCCTAGTGAGGGCTCTGGGTAGTCAGCTGGCTTTTAAGTGACGGATTTCAGGTGCTTTTCATGGAGAGCAAGTTCTCACGTGAACCACACGAGACACTCGCTAACATTCACATTCATTCCAGCAGAGTTTGGCATTAGTGTGTTGCTCTAACAAGCAAAAAATATGCACTTTTTTTTATATTACATTCAACAATTTACAATCACTAATGAACATTTATTTATAACATATTTACATGTATTTTTAAATGAATTTATAACATCTTCCTTTCAAACCGTCCGCCATCTTTTAAGGAATTTGTTTTGCTTATCACTGTCAGTGTTTTTTTTTTGGAATTTTGTATGTACTATTATAGTTATACAATATTATAGTTATTAAATATTTCTATTTAGCTTTATTTTTTACTTCAGTTTTAGTTTTTAGAAATTTGTTTCTTCAGCTTGCCAAGGCAACATTTTTAATTTAAATTTTCATGAAATTTAAATTTTCAAGAAATTAATTTGCATGAAATTTTCATTTGCATGAAATTTCATAATTTTTAGTTTTCATAATTTTTTTCCAAATTTCATTCAAGTTTTTTTTTTACATTTTAATATTAATATTTAATTGCATAGCAGCTTCATTTAAAATTACCAAAAATTATGCAAATTTTAGTTAACAACAACAACACTGCATATGCATGCAACGTTGCAACACAAAACGAGGTATTTTAGCCAGTTTTCCTGCTGGTGTTTGATATCGTCACATGGACGTTTGAGGGACATGTACACACAGACGGACTAAAGGAAAGCATTAAAAAGCATCATCACATGACTCTGTCCACAGCTCTCCTCACCAGGACGTTTCAGGATCACGTGATGCTCTTCACTCAGACCAAGAAACAGGCTCATCGCATGCACATTCTGCTGGGTCTGATGGGGTTAAAGGTCGGCGAGCTTCATGGAAACCTGTCGCAGACGCAGAGATTGGAGAGTCTGAGGTGCCGTGAATTTTCGTGTGATTAAAAACACAAATATTTGCCTTTAAAAGGATCTGAACGAAAGCCGTCTCTGTGTTTCAGGCGTTTTAAGGATGAACAGATTGATATTCTGGTGGCCACAGATGTCGCTGCCAGAGGACTGGATATAGACGGGGTGAAAACTGTGAGTTCTCATTCGTTTGCACTGAATATTAATATTAGTGAAGAAGCCACGATATCTGAATGCATGCATGTGTGTGTGTGTGTGCAGGTGATAAACTTCACCATGCCCAACACGGCGAAGCATTACGTGCACAGGGTCGGCAGGACGGCCCGCGCGGGTAAAGTGGGCCGCTCCGTGTCTCTCGTGGGCGAGACTGAGAGGAAGATGCTGAAAGAGATCGTGAAAAAAGCCAAAACGCCCGTCAAAGCTCGTGTCATTCCTCAAGGTAAACACTTCATCTTGTGTTGAGGAAAATATGCTCCCAATTTTTTTATGAATCTGTCAAACTGATTAATGAATCTTTCTAAATGATATATTGCACATCGGTTGGAATCAAAATGATTATAAATCCTTTTCCAATATCACTCACAAACTACTTGAAATCTAATTTAAATTCATTATTATATTTCAGCTTTATTTCTTTTTAAATTATTCTTTTTATAGTTTGTCATTTTGTAATGTGCTTTTGTCATATTATATATATATATATATATATATATATATATATATATATATATATATTAAAAAAACTATAATAATAATAATAATAATAAAAAAATATATATATATATATATATATATATATATATATATATATATAATTTCTATTTGCCTTAAATTACTAAAACTGTAATAAATTAAGTATTTTGACCTAAATTTGTTTGTCGAGGCAACATTTCTTATATAAGTTTTTCATCTAATAATTGTTATTTCAGTTTTATTTATTTTTAAACCATTTTAATTGTTTTAGTTTGCTTTTTATATGTATGTGAGTGTATATATGTATGTGTATATATATATATATATATATATATATATATATATATATATAATATCAATATTTTGAATTAGCTTTTATTTTTATATTTTTAGTTTTTATGTTAATTTTAGTTAAAATATTTGTCATTTTGTTATTATTATTTTTTATTTTATTGTCTTTTTTTATTTAATTTTTTTTTAAATATTGCTATTTAGGTTTCATTATTTTTATTTCAGTTTTATTTATTCATTGACAGGTAATAATTTCTGTGCCTCAACTTAAAATGATTTCAGTTTATTGCCAAGGGAATATATTTCTAATTTTCATTTACTTTTTCTTTTTTTTAGCTCTATTTCAATGAACAGAAATGTTTTTTATAGTGTTAGTTAATGATAATAACTCTGTAATGAAGCAGTGCGTATGCTGTAGGACATAAATGCAGGAACAATTAATTTTTTTTTTATTTTTTTTTTTTACAATTTTCAATATATCACAATCTAATGGACAGCTGATGTAAAGTGATTGTTTTGACCTCACCAGAGGTCATTCTGAAGTTTCGTGATCTGATTGAGAAGTTGGAGAAGGACGTGTACGCAGTGTTACGCTTGGAGAAGGAGGAAAAGGCAATGGCTCATTCAGAAGCGCAGGTCTGACACTCTTCTTTCAAACATTCAGCTGTCTGATTAAACACACTGACTCCTGTGTTATTAAATGGTGTGTGTCCATCATTCTGCTGGTGTCCAGATCAGTTTAGCTCAGAAGAGGATAACACAGAGCGCAGACGAGAAACAGCCGCCCAGAACCTGGTTCCAGACACACGAGGAGAGGAAGAAAGATCGCAGTGAGTCCCGATCAATTCATGCTCTCTCCTAAAACAGTTAAAAAACAAATACAAGATTTTTGTTTTTGAACTCTCTGCTTGCCAAGGCTGCATTTATTTGGTCAAAAATACAGTAAAATTATGAAATATTATTAGAATTTAAAACCGCTGTTTTCTATGTGAATATATAGTAAAGTGTAATTTATTCCTGTGATCAAAGCTGTATTTTCAGCATCATTACTCCAGTCTTCAGTGTCACATGATTTCATGTGTCCGTTTCATATTTTGTGGAAACTGAAACATTTTATTTTTCAGAATTCGTTGATGAATGAAAAGTGCATAAGAACAGCATTTATTTGATATATATTGAATATTTTGTCACATTATAAATGTTTTTCACTTTTGATCAATTTAATGCATTCTTGATGAATAAAAGTGTTAATTTAGTTAAATTAACAACAACAAAACGTACTGACCCCAAAATAAGCAACGTGAACATTAAATGCACTCTCATCATGACCACATTCACACCTCAGATTTTCAATAATTCTTTGATTCATTAATTGTTTGTGTATGTCTTTAATTTTCTTGTTCTTTGTCAAAGTGGCGAAGGTGCTACAGGATTTTGATTTTGCTCTGAGAGGAAAGAAAAAACGTGCAGAGTTCCTGAAACAGGGCAAGAGAAAAGAGTTAACGGTGAGAGAAGTCCTGAGTTGAATTAAACAGTACAGTCAATAACATGCTTTTATACCATCTGAAATGAAATTTGCTCTTGGTAATGAATTTTAGTACTGTATGATGCATCAGATGTGCCACTCACTTGAGTTTTGAAATGCTGAACCTGTGTGTGTGTGTGTGTGTGTGTGTGCGCCAGGCTGAGGAGAGAGCTCAGTTCGAGGTGCTGAAGTCTCAGATGTACGCTGAACGAGCAGCGAAACGCGATCGCAAGCCGAAGCGAGCCAGAGTTGTTCCAGAAGACGAACCCGTTCAGAAAGGTTCGCAAACAAACGCCTGTAAACCTCCAGCAGGGACTGACATTCTGAAACCTTTAGTTCAAACTCTGACCTCAAACTCAAACCTTCTTCTTCCAGCTAAAAAACCGAACAAATCTAGGAAGAAGTCTGTGTTTGACAAGGAGCTGACGAACACCAGCAAGAAAACGCTGAAGCAGTACAGAGCGGGGTGTGTGTGCTGTTCGATACGTGAGGAGAAAGATTTCAAGGTTTCTCATTCGTGTCTCCGAGTCTAACAGTGATTTCTCTGTCCAGGCCGTCCTTCGAGGACCGAAAGAGACTCGGCCTTCCAAACAAGAAGGGAGGACGCTTCAAGTCAAAGTCCAAGTGAGATTTATTATTTCCCTAAAACACATTCAGATTAGACATTATATATGTGCTCATTTTTCATGCATCCGGAAACACTTCATTTCATTTAACAGCAACAGAGTGTTGATATTTAACTTTTCTTTTTCATAAATAAATACAATGCATTGGTGAGGGATTTGACATGATTAAATGCATCATGAAATATTGCAATAAATATATAAAAGTACAATATGCAAGCATGAGTAGATTAATTTTTCATGTAAAATAAAAAAAGAATGTGAAATACCGTACAAAATGGCCTCTACTTGCGAAATATAAATACACCCTTGAAATAAAATAGTGGACAACATAAAGCAAATCAGTATATCTAGGAAAAATGTAATGCATCACTAAATATTTAAATATAAGTATTTAGTAGCATAAAGAAATATAAAGGGTGAGAAATGTATTTATACATTTACAAAATGTATTTTTTTTATGCTTGCATTTCATTTGTACTTTTAATTCTTTATTGCTACGTTCCATTATATTTTTAATTAAATCCTTATATATTTAATTTAGGCTCCCTGCATAGGGAATAACCATGTTTACACACACATGATATAATAAATATATCACACACACATATATATATTTATGTGTGTGTGTGTGTTTTTTATTATTTTACAGTTATTATGCAAACTGATTTTAATGACCTTGTATTAAATGAGAATAGATATTTGTGTATTTAATTTGTCACACCACAGAACTGCTTAAACTGAAATAAAGGTAGTAAGAAATTGTGACTGAAGTAAATGTGTATATTTTAGGTAAATCTGACGCAAATGTCTTGATAAGTTTTATTCAAGAAAATTAGTGAATGGTGAAAAAAGCATAATTTCTGCCGGTCTTCTCTTAAATCCTTTATGCGTCTTTCCAGGTTCAGGAGAAGGTGAATCTGTGACTGATGGAAAACTTCAATGGAACATCTGCCTCTTTATCATTTTATTATCATCCCCCCTCCAAACGCAACCTCCCAAACCCTTCCAATAAAACTCTACAACCGAACACCTGTATTTCTGTTTGTCATGCATGTGTAGAGCTGATACATGTATAACCTACGGCTAATGAGCACCAGAAATAAGATTTATTTCCCTTTGATTTAAGCCAAACTATCCCTGCAGAACGAGAAGATTGAGTCTCATAGACGTCAGAGATGTTAAAGAGCTCAGAATATCTCAGTCAGCCTCTTCACAGCCCTCACGAAACAATGAATCCATGTCTTCTTTATCAGCCGGCCTTGAAGATAATGCAGCGAGAAGCTCTCCCTCGGCCCACAAGAAATTAATGAAGCTTGCACATTCTTCACAGGAAAGATGCATACTGTATATCATAAAACTGGATCATAGTTTTAACCCTAACACTTTTATTATTTCGATGATCCACTTTAGATGTTCTACTAACTAAGTTTCTTTGCAACTCAACTTATTCTACCAACCCGAACCTAACCGTCTACTAAAACTCTACTGAGAGTTTGCTGACACGTAGTTGCAAAGTTACTTAAAACTAGTAGAATGTCTAAAGTGGACTATTGAAATAAAGTGTAACTCGTTTTATTTGAGACATTTGCTGTGGGGAATGTTGGCTGCATTAATATATAAAATCAATAAAAATGCTTCTATTTACACAAGTACCTGCTGAGTGAAATACTTGTGTAAATATCATAATAAAAATAAAAGCTATATGATTATAAATCACGTTAAGAAGCAAAACAAGATAAGGCTTCTGTTTTTAGTGAGATTTTCTGAGACCAACCTTGAATGTTCATATATGGCTTTATGCAAAAATCATCTACTCGATTATGGCACACATCTGACCCAGTTGTAAACATGGCATTCATTTCCCCCCTCTTTTTCAAGGGCACTTGGCAGTCTCTGTAGAATTATGATGAAATCACACTGGGTGTAATATGACACTATCATTGTGTCTAATGTTACGCTATTAGTCTATGTCGCTAAAGTGGAAATTGCATCTAGTTCTAGATGATTTAAAGCAGTAGGAAATGAACATGAAGCTTCAGTCAGGTCAAAGTTTTCAGGTGGAGTCAGTCAGAAATGATTCACTTGTTTGATGAACAAACAAGACGGTGAAAGTTGAGAGGAGTTTTCTCAATAATAAACAGGAAAAGTCTTGCTGTACCTCCATTTTGTTCAAATATTAGAGTCTCTCCACAGTATCATGTATTACAGCAGGTCGTGTTTGCACATTTCTAGTGAGTATTTCTTTGTTTATTTGCTCTGCAGGGTTAGTTGTGTATTAGTGTTAGCAGGCCTTGCTTGTTCTCTAAGGTTTTATTACCTGTATTTGGCTTCCTCTACATGCTTTTCGTGCTTTGCATTTAACCTACCGCTTTGCATTCAAGCCACATTTTCTCCAAATAGGTTTCGGTTTTGTGAAATGAAGGTCCTAAATTGAGGTCCCCATGAGGAAACAAGCTAATTTTTGTTTGTTTTGTTTATTATGTAAAAATGCATAAAGTTTTCTGTGATGGGTCGGGTTAATGTAAGAGGAGAGAATACAGAATACAGGATACAAATCATTACGTCTATGGAAAGTCCCCGCAAAGATAGTAACGGACGTGTGTGTGTGTTTGCGCAATTGCATTGCATAACAGTGTATGTCAGCGTGTTCTCGTTTATTTTGTTGGTCTTTTTCTCTAAACCTCTAGCCACTGAGGTATATCCTATGTGACAACTAACCCCGGTCTCCCCTTTAGCCCCAGTCTGTATATCTCACCACGGCAACGGATGTGTGTTTTTCGTTCATCACTTTCGGTTCTGACTCAGTGAAACCGGCTGATCTGATGATCCGCCCATAACAGCGAGAAACGAAACTAGACCAGCATAAAAGACACTGACAGATGGAAGACGCACTGATACTGACAACATCGAACCAGGTGAGTGCTTCAGATCATATTAAATAAGAATCACTCTGTTTACACTATTATTTCTATGTTATATCTATTGTCATTTGCTACCGGCCGCTGTTTTTAATCGTTTCAAAGAGAACAGTTTTAGCCTGTCGTGTTTTTTAGCATGTTCATTTCCGGTAGATGACTAGTACGCAGTCATTTAATTTTAAATGTATTGTTTTTTTGTTTTGTTTTCTCGAGTAATAGGCCTAGTCATTCTACAATATAAAAAAGTAACATTTTAATAAAGCATTTGATAAAAGGATATTTATAAAAACATTTTATTAATAGCCTCTCTCTCTCTCTGTCTCGAGGGAGAGAGGGAGAGAGAGAGAGTATAGCCTATGTATTATATTAGGTTATGTAGTCTTTTTATCTACCTTAGCGAAATGAAACTGAGTTCACAGTGGAATATCAATAATTTATCCGGTTCAGACATCAGCTGTATTTTACTAAACTCACTAAAAGCAAGCAGATTTCAGTTAATCATGTAGTCACGCGTGTGTGTGTCTTAAATGAGAGATAAATTGTTATGATGACATTAATTGTTATTATTTCTCAGATCATAATTGAAATTCTCAAAACTGCTTGTTTAACATTATCCTCTTGTCACTTTTGCACATCATAAAAGCACATTCTAATTATTTTGAACAAGTTGCCAATGCTTAGGTAGCCTACGTGCAATATAGATCAAAATACATTATATTTATATGCCATATAGTTTAAATCAGGAAATACTGACTGCACTTATTGCCAACATGAAAAAGCATTTTGATATCTTATTTGTGAACAAGGACTTTTCATTCTGATGACATGCACTGATACACATTCATTGGGATAAATATTTACTTTTGAGAGATTAACTAAGGATTTTGAGCAAGTTAGGCTAGTTTTCGCGGGTAATCCATGGTGCTGTTTGTACAAATTGTCTCAATAAATGCACTTAATGGGAGACTCATGCATTTTTGCTTAAAGGCGAAGAATCAACTTTATGTATGTTCTGCAAGACCCCACTTTCCATTAAAGATATTTTATTGGACTGTTCCACTTTTTATGCAAATAGAAAACATTTTTATGAAGTAAGCTCACTTAAGGACTTGTTTAGTGAGATTTTAACAGAAAATGTTTCAGAATTTCTTATCATATGTTAAAGTATAACATCTTGTATATAATACGAATTATGCTGTTTTGTTATTCCTTTTGTTTTGTTTTTATTATTTTTATTGTATTCATGCAACTTTTGTATTTTTCTAACTCAGTTTTTGTCACGTAGATAGCCTCAGATTCTGGCATGGCATTAAAAAGCTATATTACTACTACTGCACTTATTGGTTTGAAAATGTTAAGGGTGATTGAAGAAATATACCAAAGAGACTGAGGAAAAGCTGTAAAATGTACGGAAGTCATTGCATTAGATCCAGCCTTTCAGCCAGATGTAAAGCATAGCAGTGAAGGTATTGGAGGGGTCTTCAGAGAACATTTTCTTCTTGATTATTTCTATTTTCTGTATAATCTATTGGTATAATCGCCTTGCAGAGATATTAACAGCTGTATAATGGTCAATCCAAGAGGAGGAGGACAACAAAGAGGAAGAGGAGGCTTCAGTGGCCCTCAAAGAAGAGGTATAGATCTTTACATTAAGTCATTTTAACTTGTCAATATATAATGTCTGGCCAAAAAAAGTAAAAAAAAAGTTGCTGTTTGGATTTACACAGGCAAATACTTTAGAGTCTATGATTGGCTCATTATTGCAGTGATTATTTTGTTTCTAGCATGTTATATGATTGGCAACAGTTCTTCTAACCCTAATTGATGGAGTGTGTAGTTTTTAATTTCTTAAACAGCCATGTAGGAAGACACATCATGGGCATATTCCAGGATGACAATGTGAAGATTATTCAGACTCAAACTGTGAAAGAATGGTTTGAGGGAGCATAAAGGTTTTGACCAAAAATGGATGCACCTATAAAAATGGATAACATTTCCATCAAGAGGTGCATACATTTTTGGTCAAGGTCTTGTATTGACAATGCAAGAGTCCAGCACTCTAAAGTCTCCTCCAGCACATCCCTAAGACTTTCATTGAATTTAAAGCTGCAGTCCGGCATTTTTCCTCTTGTCGCCATCTCTGTTCGAAATCTGCAATTGCAGTCATTCGCGGAATTATCAACTTTACGTGGGTTGTAGTTCAACACCCTCGACACGGCACAGCGCGGATGAACACAGTGTTTGAGGAGAGTGTGCAGCTGTCAGTCACCGCGCCGATGTGGATATTGTCATTCAGAATCACAGATTATTCTTTTTGGAAGTATGACCAACATAAGAATTTTCACGGGGAAATGTCATCTGAACTAGTAAGAAACATTCACTTTTGTTCTGGTTCTGACATTGCAGTAAATCGCTCTGATTAAATCTAACAATTGCTTATAAGTTATCATTTCACGCAAAACCGTGCAAAGTAGCTATACTATGTTCTCTAATTGTTAATGTTAACGTCAGCAAGCATTGCGTGACTACATCATGTAATGTCCTTCCGATATTATCCTTGTTTTCGCATGGGTCCGGTTGCAGTCTCTTTTTTTCTGTAGCCACTCTGAAGTCCGAACGAAGTCTTTTGTATTTTACAGCGGGTGAGTCTCTAGTTGTCACTGATGATGATCGTCGTTTGAACCTTTCTGGATCCGCCATCAAATTGATAAGTTTAATTATATCAAGTGCTGTGAGAAAAGGCTATAAATCTCTACCTCCAACATCCTCACACGCAATATAGCTTATACTAGCCGAGACTCCTTCTTTATGTGTACAGATGTGACGTAATGACGCAAAGACATGCTCGAATCTCCCGCGGAAATCCACCAGTACCACTAAAATTAAAAACATTATTACAAGCTTACCGTTTTGCATCGAGCTAAGGCAAGCAGATAGTTTTGAACACTGGCTGGTTATGTATTTTATCAAATATGTATTTTGGATAATTTTTAACCCCAAAAAAGCTACGGACAGCAGCTTTAAGGTCTGTGCCAATTAGGGTTGGGTATCGGTTGGGTTTTATCCGATTCCAGTACCTACTCTGTATTTTTTAAACGGTTCCGGTGCT